GTACAGAGTTCAGTCTTGCCAATATGAAGACTTAATGAAAAAAAAAAAACTATTCAAAGCCTCTGCCAGAAATAAAATTGTACGTTATTTTAGGCTTCCTAACAAGGTATTTAAAATTTCTTACAAAGTCATAACTCTTCTTTCTAAAAATATGTTCTCTAGTAAAATACAAAACTAGAAAACAGATCAGTGAATAAATCACATCTAAAAAATAACCTTTCAATATAAAACATTTTCCCACAGATCCAAAAAGACCAAAAATTATGACATGAGACCCAAAAGCAGAATGCTAGGGACCCAGGATACAAAAAAGCAAAAGTAAGAGCCCAGATCACCTAATTAAGGAACCATAAGCTCACAATAATGTAAGAGAGAACATCTATGCAAAAATTTTAAAAATAAAAAATAAATGCAGGCAATAGAATTCAATTACAAATAAAAATGAAAAGTGGGTACGTTTTCATAAAAGGACATAAAAATTTTGTGAATATTCTAACCACTATATAGATAGTGTATAAACCTTCAGATTTTGGTTACCTCTTCTGGGAGATTTAAGGTGTTAGTTTTTAATCTTAAATTCCTTTTTTTCTTTTAAACATTTTTTTTTTAAGGAAGATTGGCCCTGAGCTAACATCTGTTGCCAATCTTCCTCTTTTTTTTTTCTCTTTTCTCCCTAAAGCCCCAGTGCATAGTTCTACATCCTAGTTGTAGGTCCTAGTTCTTCTATGTGGGATGCTGCCTCAGCATGGCTTTATGAGCAGTGAGTAGGTCCGCACCCAGGATCCAAACCGGAGAACCTCGAGACTGAAGCGGAACACGTGAACTCAACCGGTAGGCCGCCAGACTGGCCCCCTAATCTTAAATTCCTTACAAAGAAATTTACCTCCCTCTGAAATGATAAGTCAAATAGCACTTTGATTTTTCCTTCATGGAAGCAGTTGCTGGAATAGGAAAATATCAAAAGTTTTAATCAACTGATTTAATCTTTCCATGCTCTAATACGGATTTTAAATTGAAACCTATTCCTTCTACAGAAATCAATTATTGGTAATACATTGTTATTTTCCCTTCACAAATCAAAGGAGCATTTAATCACACATTATAATACCAAAGAAAATATAATATAATTTAAAAGTTTATTTATACACTAGCTCAGGACAATCCATTGACTCTAGTTCCACTTGAAAAAAGCAAGAGAAAAGGAAGTTTTTACTAATCTACTCCAAAAAAGTGGACAGGTGGCTGTAGAGGCCAATTCAGAAATTACAGTTGTCCATCTTCTGCTAGAATGTAACTTATGAACTGTTGTCCTCTCCTAATTTCTGTATTTTGTCACACACATTGCTTTCTTTGCCCACTTGATATGTACGAAGCTGCTCCATGAAGCCAGCATTTGGACATATGGAAGGCCTTGCATTTTTCACCAAAGAAAAAGCACTGGTAAATGAGATTTCTTCAGAATTCATCAGGAAGCCTATTACAACTGCAGCAGCCCTGGAAACTCCTGCATTACAATGAACAAGAACCACTCCATCCTGCAATAAGATCAAACAAAAATCTTCATTATTCACTTAAGAAAGGTTATTAAATCGATTGCACATTCTTATACTACTTAAAATTATAAAATAAAAATCATTTTATCAATTTATTTGGTTAGCAAAATACAATTCACTGTAAGCAACAAATGGAAAAATCAATCAATCAATCAACCAACACCTTATCTTCCCACCCCCAGGACTGAAATGCTTTCATGATGTATTTGGAATTTTGAAATACTATCTTTTATAAACTGAAGTAATCTAGTAAAGTACACATAAAAGCCTAGTAACTTAGTAGCCACATGTCTATAAATAAGAGGAAAATCACAGGGAATACATGTGGAAACATAAATAAAGCCATAATCACAAAACTAAACAGAAAGCCTGAAACAATCCAGGTACACATAGTGTTCTCATAAGGAAACTGGCGTCACCGGCTTGAAAATCTATGTGTAAAATGACTAGCAAGGAAACAATTTTCTACCCTTGGATATATTTTATTCTGGAGGGAAAGAACTTAAAAAATAGTTAAATTTATGAGGTAGTAAAATGATGACACAAATAGCTCATGACAATGTGAAGTGGAAAAGGTAATTAGACACCAGCATGAGGTCAATAAATGAAAAACGTTTCAGGTAACTTGCAAATGATACTTTACAACTGAAAAGGGACACAGGGCAAGACCCATGCCGATGGGGGTAATACTGTATTAATAATGAACGTGATAGATCTGACGGGACAGCATTGATAGAGGGTGGCTTATCTCAGCCTTTTAAAAAGTTAATGATCTAGATGAAATGTAGTGAACTGCGAGCACATCCTACAGAATTAGACATTTTAGTTGCTTCATTTCCTGATTCTTTGGTAAAACACAAAAGAAAGATGGGAACAGGGGAAGGGGAAAAAAACAAAACTTACCACTGAAAACTCCCTACCCAAAGCATACGTTAACAATACCATGTTTATGACTCCTCGGATTATTTTACTTTTGCAAGGCAATTTTCTCAGGTTCATAAATCTGTTGCAAAATGCCTTTTCTAGATCTGTTGTATTAAATTTGCAAGTGCATCTCATTTCAAGAAAGCCAAATGATTCACAACAAAATTAGTTAATATTTTTCAAATTCTCATATCAAAAAGACAATTTCAATTGTTTTCTTATATATATGTATGACTCATTTCCAAATTTTAACCGTTTCTATACAAGAAAAAATGCAAATATTCACTATACCTATATGGAACTTTTCTCACTTTGTACAGTAGCTCATTTTTATGAGACTTAAGATTTAAAAATCATATTACAGTAATTAATGAAAACTATTAATGAACTTCTTTCAACTCAAAGCAAATTAGATATTCCAAAGAAACTTAGAATCATAAGCTTATGAGATACCTTTCAATGTCGTTTTTAATATTTCTTGACAACATACTAGTCCTCTCTATTAATGATCCATTTATATGCCTTTGAAAATAAAACTAGCTTTATTTTCAGTCTTATATACTGTGCATCCAGATTTAGCTAGTGTTTAATAATGTTAGTATTTTCTCCTCTCTTACCTTAATTATGTAACAGCTACCTTTCTGTTGGTTTCTACAGCCTTTGAATTGACATATTTATGTTTTTATTACTCGATAGGTATCATATTGTCTTTGAAAGTATTTCCAGAAAAATTGGCTTTAGGTCCCCTTTCCAGAACTCAAAATAGTGACAATGAAATAATTTATAAAGCAATTTTTCTTTTGTACTTGCTATTGTCCTCTGCCTGGAACACCTTTGCTCCTTTTCTTGGTTCAGCTAACTCTGGCTTCTGTTCTAAGAGGCCTGGTTCTCTCTGAGAGTGGTGAGGGCAGGAGGGATATCTTAGCCATCTTTGTATGCCTAGTCCTTAGTGCAATTCTTGGCACATAGTAGGTATTCCATAAAAGTCTGCTAAGTGAATAAATTAATTTTGTTCTGTATTCCTCAGAGGAAAGTGTTCTCTCAAAAATTCAAATCACCATTTTGCTATAGGCGGATAGTAATTATGTTACAGTATTTCCATTTTAAAGTTTTCTTTGTTCTCACTCTGTTATGAATAGCTTGTCAACTAGATTGCAGGCTCCTTGAGGGCAGCAATATGTATCCCGTGCATCTTCTCAGAATAAATAATTAATATTTGTTGACAGATTAACTGAGCCAAGTTCAGGTCTTTTTTAAATAAGTAAATGATAAATGTCTAGAAAAATATATCAAAATGCTAACAGTGGTTATGTCTAAGTGGTGGGAGTAGAGTGATTTTAATTTATCTGTATTCTCCAATTTTGCTATAGTAAACATGGATTACTTATGTTTTTAAAATCACATCATATTAAACAATAAACATGGAATATCAAATACTCATTTTCATATTAACAAACAAAACCTTTTGTACATAAAAAGAGGGGCCAAGTAAATTTAGTTCCTAAAAGAACTCCTGAGGCTATAGAAGTTACCTTACTACTTCCCTTTCATGTGTATTTTTGTCTCTTTGGGCATAAACCTGACAAAGGATCCAGAGGCAGAGATAGTGGAAGGACGGAGAAACCAAACGGAGTTTATAAGTACAGAGGGAAATGAAGAAAGACATGGGAAAATGGAAGACATTCCATTTGGCAGCTGTATGTAAAAAAAGATGAAAACAACAAACTAGAGCCTACAGGTAGTTTTGAAATACGCAATTCACTGAGTAATTAGATTGAACAACAGTTGCATATACAATGGACAAAGTCATGAAGAGATCTCTTCTGGAAAAAATGAAGAAAATTCATGAATTCTATTGCTAAAGCTAAATATGTGTTAATCTAAATAAGAAGGAGTTTTCAGGACAAGGAAATATTGGCTGAGGTTAGGATCCCAGTATAAAACACAAGGCTTGAGAAGTTAGAATAGATTATGGAATTCTAATACATCTTGTAGCAGAAACATTTTCTTCACCTCCTCAGACTCTCTTGGTGCCATCATCTCGTGGGCCCTCAGCTTGCTCCACCTCAGCCGCCACCTCTGTGGCCAACTGCTCTCCTTAGGCCTGTTGAGTTTTGTTTGCCTCAGAAGGCCCAGCTCTTCCCCGTGGCGACCTCTGCATAGACAGGGTCACCAGGAGTTCTGGATTCTCTTGCTGCTTCTGAACTTGGATGGAAAGTCACACCACAGGGCGTTGAATTAGCCTTGAAGGTGGCTGCTAAAGGAGTGGAGTGTTGTAACCTGGAACTGTGGGCTTAGTTACCTCCCCATGGGTAAACTTTGACCACTGCGAAGTAGGAGCTGAGAGAGAGCCAGGCAGATAAATTCTCTCTCTCCCCTCCCTCCCAAAGTCTGTATTGAGGTGCAGCCTCTTTGTACTCCCTGCCCAGAGAAGTCTTAGGTGGTAGAGCAGAAGCACCTGCTGAGCACCCAGCTATTGCACAGTCAGCCCCTTATAAAGCTGTGCTCAGCAGTGAACACATCGTCTTGCACTGCCTCTCATGCTTCTCTGAATCACTTTCCCTTCTTCTCTCTCTTACTGCCTAGGGATTGCACCTCTCAAATGAAGCATAGGCTCTTAATCCTTGTCTCAGGTTCCATTTTTTAGGAAACCCAAGCTAAGAACCAATTTAACTAACTATTACCCTTTCCACTTTTTACTAGCAACATGCACATATCTTTTTTTGTGTGTGTGTGAGGAAGATCAGCCCTGAGCTAACATCCATGCCAATCCTCCTCTTTTTTGCTGAGGAAGACTGGCCCGGGGCTAACATCTGTGCCCATCTTCCTCCACTTTATGTGGGACGCCGCCACAGCACGGCCTGACAAGCAGTGCGTCCGTGCGCGCCTGGATCCGAACCCGGGCCGCCAACAGCGGAGCACATGCACTTAACCACTAGGCCACAGGGCCAGCCCCAATGTACATATCTTCTAATATGAATATGGATGACGTCTACATTTTTCCTTTACCATCTAAGGTATATTCTATATCTCCTTAGAGAAGCAGCTAACACAGAAACTTGATCATTTTTAACACTATTAACTGGCACAATGAAATGTTACAATCTAGAGCTGATAAAATTTTTCACAAGTGAACAGAGCAGTCAATATTAGGTTTTGTATTAGAAAACCTCTTCCTGGGCCGGCCCTGTGGCTTAGCAGTTAAGTGCGCGCGCTCTGCTACCGAGCGCCCGGGTTCGGATCCCGGGCCCGCACCGACGCACCGCTTCTCCGGCCATGCTGAGGCCGTGTCCCACGTACAGCAACTAGAGGGATGTGCAACTATGACACACAACTATCTACTGGGGCTTTGGGGAAGGAAACAAAGGAGGAGGATTGGCAATAGATGTTAGCTCAGAGCCGGTCTTCCTCAGCAAAAAGAGGAGGATTAACACGGATGTTAGCTCAGGGCTGATCTCCCTCAACCAAAAAAAAAAAAAAAAAGATGTATGCTATCGTTATTAAAAAAAAAAAAGAAAACCTCTTCCTTTTCTTTCATCCAAATATCTGCTATTAAATAAAGTTGAACGGTAGGGTTGAATACTTTTATATTCTGCTGGTAATCTAGAGGAAGGCACCTATAATAGTGCTGAGCACATAAGGCACTCAATAAATATTACTAAATGAAAGGAAGGAAGGGAGAAAGAAAGGGAAGGAGAGAGATAGAAGGGAGATCATTAAACAGAGTTCAATTAAGCTAGATTCTAATCTTAACTGTCATTAATTGTTACGTGTTCCAAGAGAGTTAACTTCTCTCTGTAAGTGCTTCTACAGTCCCATCTATCTCACATAAATTTTGTAAGAATTATATACTGACTAAAAACGATGTCATTTCAAGGAATAATTATTGGTAATAGCCAACCTAGAAGCCCTGCCTGTCAGAGTGCTCGCTTGAATCCAATTCCAAGATTGAAGTATTATATTATCCGTTGGTCCTCTAAAGTCAGAGAACCAATGGACAGCTTCTGATCGGCATTTTCATCCAAGCTCAGTAAAGCAATACGTTTAGTCCTTAGAGTGCCCAAAAATTCTATTGTTAAAAATGCTTAGATTCACAACCCCTACCTTAGCCACGAAAATGAATGCATATTAATCCTCACAAATACACTAACAGGACTAGAGCAGTCTCTATCCCATAGTCCATCTGATTATCTTGCAAACTGGTCAGAGGGCAGGTGGTTATAAACCGTCAAAGGAAATCTAAGTGCATATATTCACAGGAAAATTCAGTTAAGTGGAGAATTTTATCTCCTAACATTTCTCAGGAAGGCATAGGAAGATGAGAACTGAATTAATGTTAAAAGTAAATATGTCACTGAGAAAAGAGCAACTGGATAACTAAATAATTGTAGGGAATAATGAAATATTGTTGGTGGGGAAATTTCATAATGGTTCTTTATATATTCTTTACAAAAAGAATAGAGGTTGGGTAATGGCCCCATATTTTTAAACTTCTGCTTTTGAAGAACTGTGGATCAAAACAAAACTTACCTTCATTTTTGCTTGTTCAATAAATTCAAAACATTCTGGAAAATAAGACAGGATATTGGTTTCAGGCAGATCCAATACAGAAATGCTCTTATATATAAAGTCACTGAGGAAAGCATTTTCAACTCCACATGCAACATTGAGAATATGAGTCACCTTAAAGAGAAAAAAAGGAGATGATTTTTTAAAATTCTCATGAATTAGGTTAATTAAAAAGAAACTGCGATGTTGAGATCTGTAACAAGTACTGTTTCTATACACTCTCATAGCACCCTATAGTTGCCCTGTTATAGTCCTTAGCACTTAGAGATTGTTTGTCTCCCTCACTGTGCTAGAAACTCCATGAGGCTAGGGACCAGGTTTAGCTTACTCACCATTAGAAGTAAGCAATGTGAGTGAGCAGTGAACTTAGCACAGAAAATGCTCAAAATATTTGTTAAATAAATCAAAGAATGTCCACATAAAAAGCTTAAGCAGGAGAAGTGCATCAGTGGCACACAACTTCCCTTTCAATAATTATTTCCCTATTTTCCTTCACATTCTTTATTAGTACAATGATTCTCAAGTGTGACTGCACATTAGAATCACCTGGTGAGATTTTAAAACTATCAATGCCACAGGGCCTCATACCCAGAGATTCTGATGAATTAGTGTGGTTGAAAGGGGGCATGGCCATGAAAGATTTTCTTGCAGATGGTGCACATAAGCAACCTCCTACTTCTAGGGATTTGAACCCCTCTCCTAGAGTTCACCAAACATGAGGAAGGAGCCATGTGGAAAGTCCATGAGAATCCAAAGGCGAAATGGATCAGAAAAATGAGTCAGTGTTTCTTGTCATGAAAATGCTTCTCATTGTATTTATTCTTCTTCTTACCACGGGTCTTAGGTTTCACCTGATCTCAGTATTTTCATGTATTTCACACATATTTTAGAGTATTTGTCTAGCTCTGCCTCTCATGCCCCCACTACCCTCACAGGTATGGCTCTGGCGGTGCCCTAATTCTCCTGTCAGCACAGCTGACTGGATTAGGGTGGACACCTGACTTAAGCTAGGCTGATCAGATTATCTTTAGAAATTTTTAAAATAGGTGTAAAAGACAGCTAAAATGATCCACAAACTTGAGAGCTTTAAGACAGCCATTTTCTAAGTGCTCAGAGAAGCTGAAAAATTCCTGCTGCCAAGTGAGAAAAACAGAGTCGATGTGCAGAGAGGCCATGGTGTCAGTGGGAGAGAAGGGCTATCTTGGACGGCCCTCCATTCTCTGGTATGGCCACTGTCTGCCCTCAGTCCAGAGACCCCCCTGTATTATCATACACAGTCTCTTTCCTTGCTCAGGTGGCTCAGGTTTCCATGGTCCACAATCAAAAGAGGATTAAGGCACTCAGGGAGCAAGGCCTCATAAAGAGGGCGCCACAGGCCATTTACTACCCTAACTGCCTTGTGGAAGAAAGACAACAGAAAAACCTCAAACGTCTACTCAGGAGAGACTCTGAGACAGGAGAAACTAGAAAGAAGGGAAGAACATTTTTAGGAAATAAAGTCTGAAAAGTCTTTCTGCTTTCCCCAGTGAAGTCTCATTTGACTATGTCAAGTCACTCTCATTCCCAGCGCCCTCCTGGCCAGGATTATATGATTCGGCCCTTAACTACATGATATCGCCCAATGTCTTATAATACTGATGTGTTTGCCTTGTCTTCACAACCATTTTCTACAGTTCCAAAGACTATGAATATATAGATGTATTCTGACCACTTACAGAATATATATATATATATATACATCCTATGATGTACAGGGAAGATATATAGGGTAATGAGATAGATATATCTCATTACAGGATTATGGAGAAGACCAAATGAGAATCTTGGGAAAAGATGTTGAAAGGTAAAAATACTTTACAAATATTGTTGGATTATTAAACTACCCAATGCCTGGGTAGTTCAGCTGTTTGGAAATGCAATTTATATGTGTATTGATTGAATGGTCCTGATTGAAAAGAACTGTACCGAGTCACAGGTGGGCGTGGTGCTGGGGACTCAGCCTAAAACCCTTCTAGTAATCAAGCGTACTTCCAATCGCAGTTATAGAGGTCCTAACTATGGCTGCCCTTGGGATGTCCTTCATATTAGGAATAATAAGAATAGCCCCTTTATTGAGTACTTAGTATGTGCTAGGTATAAAGGTTATCTCAATCTCCCCATTTAGGCATTATTATTTCCATTTTTAATAAAACTTTATTTTTTGAACTGGTTCAAAAATCAGAGTTCAGATCCCGGGCCTGCACCGATGCACTGCCTGTCAGGCCATGCTGTGGCGGCATCCCATAAAAAGTGGAGGAAGATGGGCATGGATGTTAGCCCAGGGCCAGTCTTCCTCAACATAAAGAGGAGGATTGGCATGCATGTTAGCTCAGGGCTGATCTTCCTCACAAAATAAATAAATAAATAAATAAGAAACATTAAGAAGTCGTGCTCTCTCATGGCATGCATGTTAGCTCAGGGCTGATCTTCCTCACTAAATAAATAAAT